TTTTATGTTACTTATTTATTTGATTTGGGGCTTGTTTTAAAATTTCAATTTAGTTTTGTTATTTACATTTACATTTATATTTAAATTTTATTTAGCAGACGCTTTTATCCAAAGCGACTTACAATGAGGACAAGAGAAGCAATCAAAACCAACAAAAGAGCAATAATATACAAGTGCTATATTAGTATATTATTATAGTGTTATATTATAATTTCACAAAGAAACGCGCAGCATTTTTTCCAAGCAATAATAAAAGGACACATTTAATTTGTAATTTGTCTTAAATCTCATTTTGTTAAAAAATAAATAAATTGAGTGAATCGTTACATCCCTACTACTAACTGTACTAACTAAACCAATGTTTCATAAATAATGATAGAAGTTCTAAACTTTACCTGACCTAAATATTTACCAAAATATTAATGCTATGTTAAAATAAATAATACAACAATAATTAGCACCATAGAATTACAGAACCATAAAAAAAATTGTTAAACAAATTTTTTTTTATATTGTGTTATCATAATTGTGCTGCTTAGTTTTTTTTTTTTCAAAACATTATGCATTTTTTCAAAATTGTTTTATGAATAAAAAGATCAAAAGAGCTGCATTTATTTGAAGTAGAATTCTTTTGTTATATATTATAAATGTCTTTACTGTGACATTTGATCAATTGAATGCATCCTTGCTGAATAAAAGTATTAATTTCTTTTAAAAAAATCTTACTGCACCATTTTGAACAGTAGTGAATACATAATTTTATTCAATCATATTTGTTATACAGAGTTCACAGCAGTTGTTGACTTGTTTTCCGTGATTGTAATAATGTTAAACATGTTCACTCATGTGGTAAAGTCAATTTGATTGCAATTTAAAGGCAATGCTTTATTCATTTTCATTCAATTTTTCACCCAGAATAAGCACTGACTACACACTTATCATAGTTCAGAAAACTGCAAGCTGATAAACTGGTTTGAAATGGTTTGATCTCTAAGATTTTGCTGCCACCTTGTGGAAACTAAGTGTATGAGTAGTGAACGTCGGTTTTGTTTACACAAATCGGTCAATCATGTTAGAATTAAACGTTTTATTACTTTCTTTTGGTTTTGTTTTTTTAATAAATCAGTTGCCATATTTCTCAAAATCCATTCCATGCACAGTAAAATCCGTTTCTTAGTATCTGCCTGATTCCTTTTTCCTTTCAGGTGCATTGAAGCTCTTGTTGTTTACTGTCAGGCGGGAAAAAAGGAGGAACCATATGTTACCATTTCAAGAAAGATCAAGCTAAAGCATGGCAGAGGCTTAGGCCCAGCCTTCGAATGTGAGATCGGACATTCAGAGCGCAAACTAGCCGTCCACCGCAATGCCTTCAAACGCACAGCTGTCATCCAGGCCTTCCTAGGCTCCACTCCACAGCTCACTCTACAGCTCTATGCCACCATCCAGGAAAAATATGTCCTTCCCACACGGCGTAAGTCTGAATTCTTTACCAGCTACCAAATGTAATATTGGTAACACTTTACAATAAAATACTATTAAATAATGGTAGTTAACGTGTTTACCTTAAAATGAAAATTACATGAAAATGTACTTACCCTCAGGCCGTTCAAGGTGTAAATGAGTTTTTTTGTTCATCAGAACAGATTTCACATCATTTCACATCAGATTTCAAATCATTTACACCTTGGATGGCCTGAGAGTGAGTACATTTTCCGCTAATTTACATTTTTGGGTGAACTATTGCTTACAATGGGTGAACTATAACAAACAATGAGCATTACATTTGTTACAATGTTTATTGTTCTTGTTAACATTGTTAGCTGAGGTCCATTATACAGTAGGGCTGCACAATTAATCGAATTTCTAATCGCAATTACAATTACGGATGCCAATAATATTTCCAGATACAACATTTGATTTTAATAATGTATTGGTAAATGCTGAAATTAACGATCTAATAGGGCTGCACGATTATGAAAAAAATCATAATTGTCGATTATTCCCTTGAAGTTGTAATTGCGATTATTAATTACGATTATCACAATATACATTGAATGATGTTTATACGATTGTTTGAAGCAACTA